AGCATGGACATCCCTGAAAAATGATGGTGATTAAAAGCAGCATATGCGTCCCCAAAATGTGTAAATATCTTTTAGCATTAATGGCTCTTTCACAAATGTGCAGGTTACCTGCTAATATGCCCCCATACCCCGACAGATCATGGCTTTTGAACTGTACCCATGTGACAATGGATGGGTTTTTCTTCTTTGGCCTGAAGAACACAATGTCCATTATTTCCATAAACAATCTGAAACACATTTCAGGCAGCCATTTCAGTATGAGCATATATTTAAGTTAGTAAAATATAAAACATCTTGACTTTACTGTTTTCATTCAAATACAAGTCAAAGTGAATTGACACATCACTGCTTAGTTTTCATTTGCATATCACATACAGTTCCCAAATTAAAATGTTGCTATGCCCCACTACATTTACATGAGAAAAAGTCAACCTGTAAGCCATAAAGTTTGTCATTTTAAACCTCAAAACATAAACATTATAACTGTACGAATTCAGAGGGCGCAAATATCCAAAATATGTCTGTACAAATGAGCTAAAATCCAACCTCATTTAATCCAGGAAGTAAAGTCAAATTTTAAGTCATAAATCCAAAAAAAAACCCTTTTGTTTAAGTTTCTGCTCTCTGTTCCTTTTCCTACATGTATCTGAAACATGATCAATACCTGATATTCTAAGCACTGAAGAATTATCAGAATGTTTAAAGTGTCTCGACATAGAGTAACTCCTCATTACCTTTCCTGATGGAATATTGTTGCTCCACCAAGCGATTTTGTGGACACCTCTTAGTTCTACCAATATAAAAAACGTTGACACTGTGGACGTTCCAATCTATAAATAACATCGGTCGTTTTACAATTAATGGAATGTTTAATTGTATGTTCCTTATCAGACACAATATAATGAAAGGTCTTACTTTGAACTATATTTTCACAATGATTACACTGATCACATTTAAAATATCCATTGATCTTGCATCTTAACCAATCGTTTTTCTGTGTAGTTGGTAGAAACTGTGTACCAACTTATTCCGAAGTGTAGAACATCTTTTAAAACTAAACAGGGGAGGAAATGGTCAAATCTGATTAAAAAATACATTGCTCTGAATGATACTCCAGTTCTTCTTAATGATTAACATCACTGCACTCCTAGTGACAAAGCACACCATGTAGAAGTAGACACTGGTGATTTTCTATGTGATAATGAAAGTCAATTCTTTCACCCTTGTTTTTGCTGTACAAAAAATCCAATTTTTATAACCTCTTTGTACAAAACTTCAGTGTTTTACCTCATATTCCTGTTCATTATCACAAATTTGAAAGTTTGAAACGGCCCAAAGGGTATACTTTCAATCAATTTATGTCGGTGAAAAAGCATGTAGAATAGTATTTCTATTCTAACAATATGTATGAAACCATTCTCATGCTTGCTCATCTCTAAATCCAAAAATTAACGTTCTTTTTACTATATTCAAATGATAAACTAATATTTAAACTGGTACTGTTAAGGCACTGTTAAAATAGTCATGAAATCTCTAAAGGTCCTCCTCTGACCCTGCAAAAAACAGAATAATTCCCTTATTGTAACAACCCCACCAAATAACCTCACTGAAAAAGAGATTCATAACAGGACTTAGGATATTGTTCTCTTCCTATTTACCCTAAAACAAACCTGCTATAACATCACATATAAGAAAGGCTACAACATGACCCCTGGCAAGACCTTTAACTACTTTTACAAAAAATTTATCCTGAAACACAAAGATATTATTTTTCCATTAAATATGTCCTTTTACTTAACTGTAAGATATAACCCTGTCTGCAAAAAAGCTGGGACACTGTGCAAAATGTAAATAAAACAGAATGCAATGATGTGCATATCATTTAACTCCTATATTCAACTGAAAATGAAAAAAAAACAACATATCAAATGTTAAAACTGAGAAATATTGTTTTTGGAAAAATATATGCCCATTTTCAATGTTTCAAAAAGCTGGGACAGGGCAACTGGTAAAGTTGTATAATGCTATCTGGCTGTTAACTGGCAACAGGGCAATAACACGGCTTGGGTATAAAAAGAGCATCTCAGAGAGAGGCGGAGTCTTTCACAGTACAGATGGTGAGGGGTGTGAAACTAGTGCATCTACCATGAATATCATTAAAAGGTTCCAGAAAAATCTCTGTATGCAAAGGACAAGGCTAAAAATCAACATTAACTGTCCATGATCTTTGAGCCCTCAGGTGGCACTGCATTAAAACAGATGCTATTCTGTAGTGCATGGGCTCAGAAACACTTCTGAAAACCACTGTCTGTGAAGACAGTTCATTGCTGCATCCACAAAGGCAGGTTAAAACTCTACCATGCAAAGAAAAAAAAACATATATAAACAGGATCCAGAAACACCGCCGCCTTCTCTGGGCCCAAACTCATTTGAGATGGACTGAGGTTACGGAAATCATGGAAACTGCGTCCTCCGAGCTAAAGACCACTCAGCTTGTTATCAGTGCACACAGCTCAAAAGCCAGCATCCGTGATGCTATGAGGGTGTATTAATGTACATGGTATGGTTACACAACTGTGAAGGCACCATTAAAGTTAAACAATATATGCAGATTTTGGCAACATATGCTGCCATCCAAACTATGTTTTTAAGGGAAACCCTTACTTATTTTAGCACGACAACATCAGACCACATTCATTGCTCTATAGTAAAAGAGTCCAAGTGCTAAACTAGCTTGCCTGCAGTACAGATCTGTCACCACTGAAAACATTTGGCACATAATGAAATGAAAATTACAACAAATGAGATCTCAAACTGATGAGTAGCTGAAATCCTATATCAAAGCGAGAATGTGAAAACATTTCACTTTCTAAACCACAGCAGTGTCTCCTCAGTTTCCAAACACTTAGTGTTGTTAAAAGAAGAGGTGATGAAACACAGTGGTAAACAGGCCCCCGTCCCAACTTTTTTGGAACATGTTGCTGGCATCAAATTCAAAATGGGAATATATTTTTCAAAAAACAATACAATTTCTCAGTTTCAACATTTGATACATTGTCTTTGTACTAATTTCAATTAAATATAGGGTTTAAAGGATTTGATCCTTTGTTCCTAAATTTTTGAAAATAGGATTGTAAATTCAGATGGTAGTAAACCTGTGGCAGGTAAAAAAAAATGTACAGCACCTATATTATTAAATTCTTGGATTTTATTCAAAACACCAATGGTGAAATGATAAAATGCAGGTAAAATGAGAAAGTTTTATAAAATAATCAGTGTATTCAGAAATAGGTTCAGTACGACTTCCACTTTCACTAATCAAAGGGACTATCTGGGGGATTTTGCAAATTCTTATGGATTTTTAGAAGCATATAAAAAGACATCATAGGTGCAATGTTGTTAAAAAGGAATATAAACTCACTGTTATCCATCCTTTCTCCAGAAATTTGTGCATATATAATGTTTAAAGCCCAAGGGAACCTTTTCTAAATGAGTTTTCTTTCTAATTAAGTTAATCTTGTTCCTCTGAACACAAAATATACATGTACAAAGTATGTCTTATGAATACCCAATGTCTACAAAATGTTTGCTGTGTCTCCATCATATTTCTCTCAATGTAAACTGGGCAGTCCTAATCTTGAATATTGCATCTGTAAGCATTTCCTTACCAATCAAAGAGCTGACGTCTCTTGCCCCGCCCACACAGAACAGTTTCAGAGTCAGAGAAAAAATAGTCAGCTAAAGCTAACCCAGGAATAATCAAAAGCAAACAAGCTAGACCACCTGTCTGTAGCTGCCTGTCACCCATTCATTCATCTATCTATACACCAACATTGTTAATTCGTCCATTCCTTCTTTCAAGTGTTGCTTTATCCGTCTGTTTGTTCGTCCATCCGTCTGTCTTCACATCTGTTCGTCTGTGACTTTTCCCATCCAGTTGTCATCACACAAAAGCTGGGTAATGATTTTAGTTCTGTATGAGTGGCAGAGCAGACAGCTGTCAATCAAGCTGCTAATTAGCCACGCCTACACAGTTCTCAGATAGGTCTGATCAGCGTTTTTAAGCTGGGGTTTTTATTGTCATATTTATATCTTAAATTTTTCATTCAAGGTTTGCTGGATATTTAAGTTTAGTATATACACATTTTTAATATTTTACTCTGTGCTCTCTAGGACTTCAAAGACCACCGCTCAACATTTATAGCAAATGAAGACCTTTTGATAAACTCTGACTTTGTTTTCATTTCAAACTGCATAAGGCCTTATTGAGCTGATACATGCTTGGACCTCAGAATCACCACTTGTAGCTGTATTTGTTATTAGTATAATTTTTTTTTATTTTATTTTCTCTATAATCATTCTTCAGTCTTCATGCAGATGTTTGGTGATGTTAGCACCGCAAATGTGTAGTTATTTACTGCAATGAGTGTTTAACCAATACTAACTTTTCGTATTACTGCAGTTTAATTTGTTGCAATTCTTTACTCAAACCAAAAATGAAGCAATTTTGTACTTAACAATATATGACATGTTCTTACATATCTTAGAAAATTCCAAAAGTAAAAAGATCGCTTTTCAGCTCATTAGCTATCATTAGTTCATTAGTTTAGCTATCATTGCTTCATTTCTTTTCTTTACAACTTCACAGAACAAAGTCATTCTCACCCTCCATCATTATTCCTACATTTTCAGACTGGTCTACTGCACTTTTGCCTCATATTAATAATTTTCTTTTTAATCCAATTTGCCACATTAAAGATCAGATTAAAGTTGATTTCTCCAAACCAGTTCCTAAGCAGGCATGTTTTAACATTTCAGACATTCCTCAAATTAGTTGGAAATGAACTGCAAAAGAGGATCAATAAAACATTCCCAACTTTTGTTGGAAACACATCGACATCTAAATTAGCATTAGGATAACTGAATAACATTACCATCCAACTGAATGGCTACTACTTATTATATCATGGGCTTAACAAAAAATATGTTCTTTATTTCAGTACTCTGTGTTCTTGGATATTCCTGGTTGGCTGGTAAGTGTGCATTTTGTAAATAACACTGGAATTAAACAGTGCAATACTGACGGTATTGACCACTTACAGAACATAATGTCTACGCACAATTTTCAGAGCAGAAATATGTTGAATGTGACAAATGCCTAAAAAGCTCATGCTTAACAAAGCTGTGCACTGATCTCCTTTTGTGACAGAGGGCTTCAACATAAGACTCGTCAATGACAATGGCATCTGCTTTGGTAGAGTGGAGGTCTATCATAACAGCCAGTGGGGAACAGTGTGTGATGATAACTGGGACACGAGTGATGCGACAGTGGTGTGCAGAGAGATGGAATGTGGTACAGCGGTCAGCGCCCCTCAGAGTGCCCACTTTGGTCAGGGACGTGACCCAATACTTCTGGATGATGTTGCTTGTTCTGGAAGTGAAAGTACCCTCACACAGTGCTCTCATGGTGGATATTACAAACACAACTGTGGTCATGGTGAAGATGCTGGTGTTATCTGCTCAGGTATGGAAAAAGTTAATTTCAAGTTAAAACACTGTAATATGTACATTGCTGCTGTATCTCTTCCGATCTTAAACATTTAGTGACCAGTAAGGAGATTTTTTTAAATGAAGAAAGAACGGAAACCCAAGTAAATAAAAGTAATCCAGTCTTATGGTGAAGGTGTGATATACGCATTCATAGCACTCCAGATGAAGGCTTTAAAACACTTCCCTGCACGTTGCCAATCCTTTACATAATGCTATACACAAGGGCAATGAAAGGCGGTGTTCCTACGGCTTCATGACAACTGAAAAACCTACATAAACATGTTTAAAGGCATATTTTAACAAACGAGTTGTCATTAAGGCTGCTTTTGTCAATTGTACTATCAAGTTAAGTGTTTATTCTTATTTATTATTATTCTAAGATTTTTATGAATCCCTATTGAGATTCCATGAATTACAGTGAGTTTCACTAAACTGATTATCAGAGTTTATGAATACTTACGGTAAAGCTATTACACTGAAATGCAGTATGTGTATTTTATTTTCTTTGGCCCTTAAGTAAATTATAAGTACTCTGTAACGAAAGTTTAATGACATTGTAGGGTTGAAGCAAAAATCAAATAAAAAAAAAATCAAAGCAAAAGTATGTGGACACTTTCTTTACTGTCTTGAGTTTCATCCACACTCATGAAATCTCAATGAAAATCTGCAGCCACACTGGCCACTTTCACTACTTGGTGGTGCTATAAAAACAAAGTTTCTTATACCAAACATTCAGTTCTCAATGAAAACCTTTAAATATTTAATATACTTAAACTATACTGTCACTGTGCTGAGATTCATTTATATATATATATTGTGGATATTTTAAGAATTATATCTGACTATTAGGAACCGGAGACAAACTGTGAAATGGATACAGAGCCAGCTGCCATAGCATGCTGGGTCATTTCACCATAAAATCTGTCACTACCCATAAAGTGAAACCAAAGTTGACAAAAGCAGCCTTTATGAAAACTGAAATTTGATGGAATAAGGATTTTTCACCGTAAATACAGGCTAATGTCATTTGTCATGAAAGGTTTATTTACCTTCTCATTTAGTCCTATGAACGATGGATTTCACTAAGGTATCACCATCCCTTTTAAGTGCCTTTATAGAACAAAACAAAAAGGTGTTACGAAATCTTCGTGTACCCCTCCTTCATCTGGATGTTACCTCATTTGTTGCAATGGTTTATTACTATTACTGTTTCATTGTAATACAACAGCAATACCAATACAATGCACAAACTGTGGCTCTTATTCATCAAAGTTGCGTAAAAACGAGGATTCATGAAACCTTCATGCTTAAACTTGAAAATAAGCGTAAATTTGGGCACAAATCAGCTCCAGTGCATGAAATCAAGCACCGGCCTACCTGTATCTCATTTACAAATAATTTACATGAATTTACGCCCTTATTTAATAAAGATGTTTTGGCAATCAGCCAATAAAATGGCAGCATTCAGCAGCTCGTGAGCAACTGAGGAAGTGTGAGGTCGGGCAGTGTGATCAATGCTCACTATACTGACCGAATTTTATAGTGTTAAAACTAGAAACACTGGAAAGAATAAAATGTGAAATAAACATAAGGTCTTAGGTATTTTAAGAAAGTGCACAATGATGTTACAGTGTAGTGGGATAATTATCCTAAAGTCACATTTTTAATTGCTTAATTCTTGCAGTGAATGAGATGTTCATGCACTAACTGTGTTTTGTATTGTTTATTTCGTGGGTGGAGTCAGTCGTATAAAACAAAAGCAAAGTGCCTTTAAATGAAACATGGAATAGTTGCAACATTTGTTTACTAATATGTATGTTCAATAAGTACCTCCACTTTTGTACTGAAATTCCATGTTTACAAATCATTACTATTAATATTTTCTATTTTATTATCTTATTACTGGTACTGTAGATGAAACGTATAATAGTTAACTGCAAATCAGGCATTTTTTTCAAACTGTTCACATTTTACATGAAGCAAGCTCTAATTAATACAAATATCTTGGTAAAGAGCCAATAAAACGACAGCATTCAGCAGCTCATAAGATAGCGGCTCTGCTCGTGGGCGGAGTTTGAGGTCAAGCAGTGAGTGCAATGCTCCCACACTGACCAAACGTTATAAAATTACGAGGACTGGAAAAAAGTAAAATGTAAAAAAGCGTTTTTTTTTGTTTTGTTGTTTTTTAAAGACAGAAGAATGATTTTGTAGTGTGTTTATTGTCCTAAAATAAAATGAAACGCTGAGTCCGTAAAATAAAACAAAAACGCAGTGTAATGTGTCTTGAAATAGAACATGGAATAACTGCAGCATCTGTTTACACCAATATGTATGTACAATAATACACTTTTGCCCTTGATTTCTGTGAGCACAAATTATTAGTAGTATTTCCTATTTTCATACTAATTACTGGTATTATAGATGATACGTATAAAAATTAAGCAGTTGTCAGGTTGTTAAACTTACTCAAATTTACACACACTCCTACCAGACACGAGTTTGATCGTAGAGATATGCAAAAGATTAAACTGATGAATAACAAAACTGTCTGTGAAATTTACATGCGCTCATTTTACGATCAGATCTGACCATATGAAAATCTGATGAATAAGGGTCAATGTCTCTAAGTAGTAAACATTATGACAGCAAGCACCCGACATGATTTTGGGGGCTTAATTTCTACTTTTAATTCTACATATTTCAACTGTTGGTTTGTAAACAAATTGGTTTAATGTGAAATTGTAGCGTTTTTTGTGATGATTTTACTAAGAACTGAAGAGGTAGAATGAGGTTGCTCTTCTCTGTTGAGAGATTTGTGCATTTTTCTGCTGTTTTCTTCAGTTTGAGTTATTTGGTGGGACTAAATTTGGCGCAGGACGTCAGATCTACTAAATTAAAGTTAGCAATATGTATACCTCAGTTACTCAGTTATATGCAGTTAACTTCATTTACGAAGCGTGATAGCTAGCTGTCCACCTTAACTGTAGGAATAAAATTATAATCTCTATTAGCTACTCCCCCAAACATCAAGGCTCACAGTGTTTCTATTGTGCACAGTAAGGCACGAGATATTTCTCCACGGCCCAGCAGTTAGCTAGCCAACTATAGGTTATGGATAAAACGTTAGTGCTGATCATTACAATTTTTGACACGATATGTTTGTGATGTACACATAAGATGAAAGCCTGAGTTCTCAAACTGCAAAATGTAATTAGATCTCTAAATGATAGATCTAACTGTTAGCTTGTTCTCCATATGCCCTTTCAGTCTCCATTCAGAGAGCAGCCGAAAAGTGGTGGTCTGTTTTTCTGAGGAGGGCTTAAACGTTCATCACGCTGGCTGGCAGTTTGGTGGGTTGTTGCATTGCCTGGGAGATGCCACTGTCAGTCATTTTTTGCTTTTTGATGACCCCACACAGTTCTGAGCAGACAGCAGCTGAGAATTTCTAGAGCATTTTCTTACAGCTAAATTATATTAATTTATGTATATGTTTGTTTCCTGAATATAACACCGGTAAACACTTATTCTACAGCACATCTTTAATATTAAAACAAAAAAATAAATATTTAAAAGCATGCTGTTATGTTTTAAGAGGCATCCTTAAGCATTTTAGTTTCTCTAAACAGGCACATTTCACATCTTCTTGACTTTTCGTACATCATGATTTCATTTATACAAAGAAATTCCCTATTCCACTGTGAAATTATATACAGCTTTGGTATTCATGAAGGTTCCAACATAACTATTTGCACCAACCTATAGTTCCACTGTAAATTTGGTCCTTAAAATCTTATACTTCTTCATTAAAGATAAATATCTGCATATTTTTGTATGGTAAATCAGAAAGCATCAGGCTGGTGACTGGAGGCAGTCGTTGCTCTGGTAGAGTGGAGGTCTATCATAACGGCCAGTGGGGAACAGTGTGTGATGATAACTGGGACATCAATGATGCAGCGGTGGTGTGCAGACAGATGGGATGTGGCCCAGCGGTCAGCGCCCCTCACAGTGCCCACTTTGGTCAGGGAAGTGACCCAATACTTCTGGATGATGTTGGTTGTTCTGGAAGTGAACGCTCCATCACATCATGCAGTCATAATGGATTTGGAACACATAACTGTGGTCATAATGAAGATGCTGGTGTTGTCTGCTCAGGTAAGGCAGCATTTTTTTGGAAAATCACGCTCTTCAAACATAATGCATATTACTTTGCTGAACTACTTCTCTAACAGGTAACTTGCAGAGCCCAACTCTGTCCCTGATCTCATCACACTCTGCTGTCTCACCTGGGGAGGCTGTTCAGCTCAAATGTACCGCACCCGACTCAACGTACATCTCTGTAGACTACCGTCTGTATAGAAATGGGATATCAATTATAACCCAAACAGCTAAATCGTCAACCACATTTACTTTAGCGGTGGATTCCTCATATCAGGGCCAGTACAGCTGTGACTATTCACACCCGAGAAGAAACTCCATGACATCATCAAGAAGCAATTCCATTGACATTACTGTGGGTAAGTGCACAGATAGTGATTTTATAAAAAGCACATTTTAAACAGTTGTAGTGATCTGATTTTGATAGGTTTCCACGAACTTTACCCTAATTTAAGGAAAGCATTCCAGGGTATTATTTTAAAATGATACTGTAAAATAAATGTTTGACAAGCATGATGGACTATAATGAAAGCAGATAATTGGTAACATTAGCACAGCACCATCATTCACATTTATTGACAACTTCAGATGTTCTTAGAAACAGTCTTCAAAGATTCACTCCCTATGTAAGGGGTGCAGATTTTATCATTGTCTGCATATCAAAAATATATTCTAACAGGGGGAATTTGCTAGGTCTTACCATGCCTTTCACAAATTATCATATGCATAATTTTGTTATGGTTGTAGTTTGGGAGGAGACTGTATGACTGAAAGAAGGGAGAAAACTCTTAGCACTTAGGCTGAAGTTCTGGGCAGTTTCTGATTTAAGCTTGGATTCTTAAAGTATTAGGTCAAATGGACTAGAGATCACTGATTTTAAGTAGATTCATCCAGACAACCTATTCCCAACCAATCATGAGAACATATAGACTAAACAAATTTTACAATTTATTTATCAACACAGCGTTTCTTCTTGCACCACGTTTTTCCTCTGTTATGATACAAATCACAAGGCTTGGCTTGGGCACTTTCAGTAGCCCACAGTGCTGGTTAGTTGGGGAACTCTAGCCTTACTCATCCTCTATCATGCATGTCCTTGCCCGACTTGCTGGTCAACAAACAGCAGACACATTTCCACTCCAATAGTGTCCATATCTGGAAAACGCACTGCATTTACACTTGTGCTGAACGTGGTCAAGCTCCATCTCCAAATGTGGTCTGAGTGATTCACTCACAATGCATTCCAGAGTTTTTCATGCGATGGAGTTAAATCTGACTCAATGATTTGCAAAAATTAAACCAAGGAGCTACTGTGCCACTACCTTGTTAAAAAAAAAAAAAAACTAAAAAGGTAGCAAATTGTCTGCACCGCTCCCCACACTTCCCCAGGTTCAAATCTAAGTAATGCCCCTATGTTTGTCAAGGGAAAAAAATGAAAATAAAAAACTGTCATCTCCTCTCTTCTTTCAAAGAATGCAATTGAATGCTTGTTCCAAACTAAAATTAGCACCCAAACCTCTTATGAAAATGTTTTCAATTTTGTACCACACTAAATGAAACAGTTGATAACTGCCTATCAGATGATTTCTCAGGATTTGATGTGTATTGAGTACTTTTTTTATTTCTAATACTCTAAAATGAGATTTCTTGACCTACTGTTTTCTATTACTACCAATAGCTAATATTTCATTAAGTCAAACGCATTTAATTTTTATAATTTGGACTAACCAAAAAAAACTGATGCCAAAAATGTCATTTTCCAGTAACTCTACCCACTCCACGCATCTCTCTCAGTCCCACCAAAGAGGTCACATGGGGAGAGAAGGTTGACATCACCTGCTCTGTACAAACCCAGTTCACAGGTGGATCCTTCACTCTGATACAGAACTCTGGATCATTTAGAGAGACCAAGAGTGGAACCTCCGTCACCTTCAGTTTACCAAAAGTGGACTTTGTTCATGAGGGGTCTCACTACTGCCAGTACCAGACCAGAGTGTCCAGTCGTGATTTCACTTCTCCACAGAGCAGTTCTGTTCAGTTCTCTGTTGTAGGTAAGACAGATTCTTTTTAGATTTTTGTCCTCAATTCTTGGCTTTTATTTTGCATTAACTGCTGCTGGAGGTATTTCAATTGCACCCATTAGTGAAACACTGTGTTTATATGCACTTAATATTCCGATCATAATCGGATTTCTGCAGTTATCTGATTATTCAAATGGTTGTGTAAACAGCATCTGATTTCTTAAATCAGAATAAGGTCTAGAAATGCGATTAAGAAATCTGATAAAGGCTGGATTTTAGCTCAGTAATCAGATTTCTCATTGCATGTAAACTCTTACTTGGATTTCGTTCGAATTTCTCAGTCTGCACAGGTGCAAAAACTGTGACTGTGGTACCGGAAATGAGTGAGCAGTGTAACACAGCACCCATGAGACAGCAACAAAATACTTTCGGAGCAACGCTGAAACCAACGACATGCTTGATGAAATGAGGGATTTAAATAGTGATGGGCCGATCCACATTTTTTTCAGTTCCTATTAGATACACAACTGATATACATACAGATTCCGATACTTTAACATTATCATTATTATTGTTGGTATTGTGTTTAATCTTCTAATCACTAAGCATATCTGTAATGGAAGCTGCAACTGAACTGCTAGTTTGTGACCCCCTGCGCCTTTTAACTTGACGCTCCACACTCTGTAGTGCATATGTTTCTGAGTTCACCCAGTGTACTGTGAAACGTAAGAGAGACACTGGGATCACACTGAGGTCCAAACATCAGTTGTAAAGCTCATGGCTTTAACAAGATGGCCCCTGTGAGGGTGGTAGCCTATTGCAGCAGCTCTGGCTCTCTTTGAGCTTTTTTCTTACTTTCTGTACTTTTCTCTTTTTCTTTTTTAAGTATTTATACTTTTCTGATTGTTTGCCAAGAGTTTTTCGCGCTATGGACACCACACTTTTGCCCTGGTCCTCGCTCTACTTTTTTCTCCATGTCTGGAGATCCTCTACGGAGCCCTACTGTTTACAGTGGGGATCAGTTGTTAGCGCTAGGCAACACAGCGTTGCTGTCAGATGAGAGATCTGATATCCCCCGCAAGCTGAGGAAAAAGAGGCAGGGAAGTTGTGTCGGAGTTCTGCTTAGCGCCAGGAGGAGACGTTAAAGACCTGTTCTTCCCTCAGTCGTAACGGGAAATCATCATGGCATAAGATCTCTTCCCACTAAGAAGGACGAGCTGAAGAGGAAGAGACGGGGAGTCGTATGGGAGCTTTGTGTCATGCCAGGAGGAGATAGATAGACCTTTATTGATCCCGAAGGGAAATTGCAGTGTTTCAGTAGCAAGACATAATTGCACATAAACTTACATATACTACGCAGAAAAAAACAGAAATAAAAATAAACATAAATTAAAGTATAAGAAAGCAGAAATAAAAGTATATCTACAGATTTATTATATTTACACGTATAGTATTTAGACGTTATAGACCTGTTCTTCCCTCAGTCATCATGGGAAATGCAAGATCTCTTCCCAATAAGATGGACGAGCTGACAGCGCTGATCTGATATCAGAGGGAGTACCGAGAGTGTAGCGTCATGCTGTTCAGAGTCATGGCTAATTACACTAACTCCATCACTTTGGACGGGGGTTTTTTAGATCAGGAGACTAGACCAGGCTAGAACTACCCAGCTAACGAACAGTTTCTGGCCACAGGCTGTCAGGCTTCTGAACAAGCTGTGATGCTGTGGGTCCTCCCCTAACTACCATTTTGGTCACTTTGTTAGTATTATTTATTATATCATATCACTGCTACAGACAATAACACTAAGTCACTAAAATGTACATATATTCTTTTCAGATTATCCCTTGTTTAATATATTAGTAAATAGCAGAGAGTTCTTCTACATAGGTCCCTCCTGTCTTTATATTTTGGGTTTATTTAATATATTTTAGCTTTAGTACTTTTACTTTGTTCTCTCTGCACTGGCTGTAGAATGTATATAATGATGCCCTGCTGTAAAGTGATTACCTGAGCCTCACCACAAGCATTTCAATGCATGAATGTCTTGACATGTTGTGCAAATGATAAATAAACTTGAAACAGGGGACAAGGAAGAGCTGAGAGCTGTGCAGAGGGAACTAAAAGGAAAAATCAGGGAGGGAAAAGCCAGCTACAGGAGAAAGTCCAGAATCCAGACTCTACCTGCTTAGGAGCCTGAGGTCATTTGGAGTGCACGGGGGGTGCTCCTGACCTTTTTTATGGAGTGGTCTACTGGGGGAGCAGCATCTTAACTGCAGACAGGAAGAGACTTGACAGACTTATTAAGAGGGCCAGCTCTGTCCTGGGAAGCCCCCTAGACTCAGTGCAGCTGGTGGGAGACAGGAGGAAGTTATCCAGGCTAGCATCCATGCTGGAGAACAACTTCCACGCCATGCATGAGACTCTGGCAACACTGGGCAGCTCTTTCAGTGCTAGGCTGCTCCACTCCAAGTGTGTGACGGAGGCTATCGCAGGTCCATCCTGCCTGCTGCTGTTAGACTATACAACCAGCACTGCTCCCAGTAGAACCCCTGCCCACCCTCCATTAGACCTCACACACCTACAGCACATAAACCGTAAACTCATCACCATATCAGTGTGCAATATAATCAATACTCCATGTGCAATACATATAGAATATCTTGAAGTGTAAAGATTTTTTTTGGCTTTTCTATATAGTATGTTTATATTGTTAACTCATCACCATTCCCATGTGTATTATAAACAATACTCCATGTGCAATACTCCATGTGCTATATTCCACGTGCAGTTCAGGAAAAATATCCTTACAGTGTGAATTTTTTTTTGCTTTTTTATTTATAAATGCTAATATTGGTAATTTCTGTAAATACAGTTTATGTAAAGGATAGAGTTTATATTTTGTATCTTATATTGTTTAACTCTAGTATTATATATAGTCTATATGGTAACAAGTAACAAACTGCAACCGTGTTAAGTAATTAACAAGGTTAATTACTTTGTTAATTCTCTTCGTGGTACTTCTTTTCTTGAGTGCATTGCTGCCCCTTTGCTGCTGTAGCGCTGAATTTCCCCATTGTGGGACTAATAAAGGATTATCTTATCTTAACACCTAACTGCACCATTAACTGTGATGACACTCGGTTGTGTATCAGGATCGGATCTGTCAGATGGGGTATCACAGTCTCTGAAATGTATTTTCTGGATGGAGTTTATTTCTGGGCTCTAAGAGCTCCAACAGGCTGCGAAATCTGACATTTTCCACTACAGATAGTGGTTTGTTGTCGAGTATAATGGAGTTCAGCAACTTCTCTGTGATCCCTTTAGCCTTTGGGTTGTCTGCTGGAAGTTTATCGTGTTTCTGCAAAGCATCAGCGAGAGTCACTGCCTGGTGTCTTCCTGTCTGTTAGCATGGACTCCTGGTACTCTTTCCACGTGAAACCTCTGCAAGTGCTTAATTAGACTGGTTGTACTGTATGACACAGCCGTATTTCCACCTCTCAGCACGCTGGCTTTACATACATTACAAGTAGCGGTCTTGCTTTTCGGCGTTTCCAGACTAAAATATCTCCAAACAAATCACATTTTAGTCAAACCACCAACTAATGTTATTTGCTCAGTCACTTACAGACTGAAATTGCTGCGGGTTTATGGTAACATGAGAAATGGAATCTGTATCGGTGACGTTTCATGTTATGTTGTGTAACGTTCATGGTCCAGTGCAAGCTGCGGATTGGAATATGGATCAGTAAGTGGATCGGCCCTGTCCATCCGAAATCTGATGAGTAAATTACGTAAATATTGGCCCCGATACCGATATAGGATTGGATTGTTCACATCTCTTGATTTAAATATTTCGTCATCTTCTAGAAGATATATGTTCATGTTTTAGCATATTGAAGTGGCTTGATGTTTTAAAAAAGCCGCAGCATGAAGTCTGAGTTTTGCATTACGTTTACATCACGTCCTCTGCGAATTTATTGGCTGGTTGCAAAACAGAAATCCAATTACTGCCTAACGCATGTAGACCCAGAGTTTCCGGATTACTGACGAAATCTGATTTTCTGCAGTTATCGCACTATTAAATGCACTCACTGTCGCTGAACTATATCAGGAGCTACATACAAGAATTAGATTTGAAGCAAATGAATCATTTTAGGCTGGGACAAATAACACTTATTTGGGGACAAAAAGACAACACGCACTCCTTTTATACTTGACCACCATCTCTGACCACCTCCAAATGTGGTCTGATTGATTCAATCACAATGCGTTCCAGAATGTTTCTACACTTGTTTTTTTCATGCAATGGAGTAAAATCTGACAACACGAAGGACTGATTCGCTTGGGGGAAAAAAATAAATAAATAAATACAAAGGTAACAAATTGTCTGCACCGTTCCCCACACTTCCCCAGGTTCAAATCTGAGAAATGCCCTTGTGTTTGTCAAATAAAAAAAAACTCTCTCTTTTTTCAAAGAATGGAATCAAAAGCTTGTTTCAAACTTACTTTAAAATTGTAACCGCTTATGAAAACTCTTACGTTTTCAATTTTGTACCAGACTAAATGAAACAGCTGACAGCTGGCTATCAGGTGATTTCTCAGGATTTGATGTGTATTGAGTACTTTTTTATTTCTAATACTCTAAAATGAGATTTCTTGACCTACTGTTTTCTATTACTGCCAATAGCTAACATTTCATTAAGTCAAACGCATTTAATTTTTATAATTTTTTGAATAAGCAAAAAAAAACTGATGCCAAAAATGTTATTTTCCAGTCACTCTACCCACTCCACACATCTCTCTCAGACCCTCTAAAGAAGTTTCATGGGGAGAGAAGGTTGACATCACCTGCTCTGTAGAAACCCAGTTCACAGGTGGATCCTTCACTCTGATACAGAACTCTGGGATCATTTAGAGAAACCAAGAGTGGAACCTCCGTCACCTTCAGTTTACCAAAAGTGGACTTTGTTCATGAGGGGTCTTACTACTGCCAGTACCAGACCAGAGTGTCCAGTCGTGTTTTCACTTCTCCACAGAGCAGCTCTGTTCAGTTCTCTGTTGCAGGTAAGACAGAGTCTTTGTAGATTTTCTGTCCTCAAGTTTTTGTCCTATGTTTTGCAGCTATTTTGTCACGTTCTTCCTGTGTTCATTCATTGCTGCTGAAGGTATTTCAATTGCACCCATTAGTGAAACACTGTGTTTATATGCACTTAATATTCAAATGGTCATGTAAACAGCATACTCTGATTTCTTATATCAGAATAAGGTCTAGAAATGCGATTAAGAAATCTGATAAAGGCTGGATTTTAGCTCAGTAATCAGATTTCTAAGTGCATGTAAACTTTTCTTTCTTTCATATCTCTCAGTCTGCGCATGTGCAACAACAGACCGCAGTACCGGAAATAAGCAAGCAGTGTAACACAGCACCCATGAGACAGCAACAAAATACTTTTGGAGCAACGCTGAAACCACCAACATGCTTGCTGAAATGAAGAATTTAAATATATACTGTTATCGGATTATTAAATGCATGTAAACGCACTCATTGTTCTTGAAATATATTGGGAGTTACATACAAACAAGAACTAGATTTGCAACAAATTAAGCATTTTAGACTGGGACAAATAATACTTCTTTTGGTGACAACCCCAGCCTTATGTGTCCTGTATTTCCTTGTTTATCCTCTCACCTGCTGGTCAGCACTCAGCAGACATATTTTCGCTTACGTAACTGTAACTGTGTGCATACATGGAAAACAGACTCCATTTAAACTTGTACTGAATGTGGTCAAGCTCCATCTCTGACCACTTCCTAATATGGTTTGAGAGATCCAATCGTAATCAGATCACAATGCATCTCAAGTATTTTTACACCTGGTTTTTCATGCGATGAAGTGAAATTTGAATGTGATCCCATTGTGTTAATGCAAGATGTAAACAGTCTCAATGTAATGGACTGATTTGTGAAAATGAAACCAAGGTACTAAAGTGCCTCTACCTTTACAAAAACCTAAGCAGCAAACTGTATGCACAACCCTCAGATAGGTTCAAATCTGAGCAGTGCCCCTTTGTTTGCTAAGGGGAATAAAATGAAATAAAACAACCATGATCTCATCTCTTCTTTCAAAGAATGAAATCAAAGGATTGTTTCAAAATAACTTGCACCCCTAACCTATACATTTCCAATGTAGTACTATACTGAACAAACCAGCTCCAATCTTTGTGTTTCTGATGTTTAATAAGATTTTATAGCCTTTTGTTTTCTAAAATTTAACTGAACAAGTCAAATGAAATACGTATTTCTGAGGTCATTTCTGAGGTCATTTAATTAACATAATATGAACCAGAAAAATCTGATGGTAAAAAAATCATTTTCCAGTTACTCTAGCCATTCCACACATTTCTCTCAGTCCCATCAAAGAGGTCACATGAGGAGAAAAGGTTAACATCACCTGCTCTGTAGAAACTCAGTTCACAGGTGGATCCTTCACTCTGATACAGAACTCTGGATCATTTAGACCCCTTTTACATCTGGTTGGTTCAGGCGTTTTGAATATCAGGTTTATTTTTGGATGAGGAACCGAATGAAATGAAAGGCTTAATGGCAGTAGAGACACGACTGCAAAACAAACTGCAGATGAAGAGGCTAAGCGGATAAACAGTTGGTAACTGGCTGCAATGTGACAAGCACATTTGAATATTCGATTCCACACGGTAATTAGATTTCAGTCCAACTAACTGGAGATACATTTGATGACCAAGTGTAAAAGCATGTGGCTAAAATCTTACCAAGAGACAATCAGGATACAAGTCACATGAAGCGTCCGGGTGTAAATGTGGTTTTAGAGAGACCAAGAGCAGGACCTTCGTTACCTCCACTGTTACTAAAGTGGACTTTGGTCTGGTACTGGCAGTAGTAAGACCCCTCATGAACAGAGTGTCCAGTCGTTATTTCAGCTCTCCACAAATTATTTGTTATTTTCTTGGATGCGAATAAGACACATCATATTTGGGGTTTCTGTAGTCAAATCTTGACTATCAGTCAGCAACTCTTCATATAAGTTTTTGTTTTCCAGTGAACTTGCAGCAGCCCAATATCTCCTTCAGTAATCCTGATGGAAGGTTCTACTGGGGGTCTCAGGGGTCAGAGGCGACCAGGGGTCACAGTTTCTCCCTCATCTGCTCCACCAAACCACAGTATCCAGGAGGCTCCTTCCACTTGGAGCTCAGTGGATCCAACATCACCAAAACTCAGTCAGCTGTTAACCACTCAACCACCTTCTTCTTTGATGAGGCAGATTTTGTCCACCAGGGAAACTACAGCTGTGTTTATGAAGTAAACGTGTCTTCACGCACCTTTAACTCTCCTACCACTGAACTCTTGGCTGTCACTGTGAAAGGTACAGTAACTAGTCTTGTTTGATTTGTTCTCTGTTTAAAGCAAGAAAGTCTTGATGGTGATTTCCTTTGCAGCGTCACCAGTTCCCTTCATCGCTTCTGGAGTGACAGCAGGACTGTTACTCATATTAGTGCCAATCATCATTTTCTTCATAAAGAGAAGCAAAAACCAAAAAGATCATCAGACGGCTGTGAAGACGGATCATAGACTTCGTGAGCACTTTCTGTTCTGAACTAAACTAATTACAGTATTTTCATTATGTCTTTTGAAAACTAAACTGAAGCTCTTTGTTGTTGACTGGTATTCGCATAACATCCAGTGTAGATGGTGGTGCAGAGACATTTACTGCCATAAAATCTGGTTAACCAGTTCATTTTTCCCCCACAATCCTTCTGTAGGTGCCAGAAACACATATGGGGTTACCGGAGGAAATAATGAGATGGATGATGAAGATTATGAAAATGCAGAAACTGTTTTTCACCAGAAAGAAGATTCAGATGATTCTGATGAGGACTATGTTAACGTAGATGTTGATGTCAAGAATAAGGCAGTGGCCAATGACTATGGAGGTGAACAAATTTATGCAAACACGGATTAGTACGGTAAACTAAACAATCTATTTTTAAACGCTGGATCTGATGAGTAATGTTACAGCAGTTTTAGACTCAATGTAAAAGATAGTGTTAATATGTATGTGTTCGTTTTCAAACCTTGATAAGTGTTTATTCTGTCCATTAAAATGAATTCGGTGATCCCTGGTTGCGAGTTCGATCCCTGGTGATGCTACAGCCATCCGTGGCTGGGAGTCCAAGAGAGCACAATTGGCCTCGCTCTCTCTGGGTGGGTAGGGTGGCCCCCCGTCTCCCCCCATCACCCAACGCAATGCTAGTCAGTGCAGGCGTCTGTTAGCTGACATAACAGATCTGGCGGTTGGCACTTTCCCGCGAGCGCGTTCAGTTGTCCAATGATGTTGCATGAGCAGCAGTCCGAAAAGATGTGGTGGTGCTTCACAGGACTCGGAGGAAGCCTTCACCCTCCTAGTGTTGGTAGTATCATGTGATTGGGGGAGTCCTAACTAGCGGGTGGAATTAGAGACGACTAAATTGGGGAGAAAATCGGGGGAAAAAAAAGAAGCAGATGACGACACCTACCTTACTTAAAATGTGATTAAGCCTGTCGTTCTTTGGCTAGTTTCCTATACATTACTTGAAACGTAACAACTGGTCTGTCACAATATTGCTCGGTTAGAATGTACTGAAACTAGCAAACTGTGCTGGACAGTAGACCACACCAAGTAAGAACACTTAACCTCAATTTAGAAGTAGCATCATAAGTAATCAAATTATAATCCAGACATGAGGTTTTACTTTCGTACTTTAAACTTGTTTTTTGTTATGTATATAGTGTTTCACACAAAGTCAGTATAGGAGGGTGACTGCATCAACAATAGTGATAAACTGTTTGATACTAAACTATATTTGACTGGTGAAACTACAAAAGGCTTGAAGAAAGCTATTTTGAATGTCTGTTCGAAGCTTCAATATCTACGTTTAAGCCAGAGCTTAATGCTAATGCCTGGTACTAACAAAACATAGGACTAAATGAACAAAGGCTACTTATAAAAAGCTTCTTACTGCATTAAACACTGCAATGTAATAACATGCACGGCTAGCAAATACTCAATTTTATAACGCTATTAAACTGTAAATAAACTGAAAAGGTGAATGAAAAACTAGAATGTTTTATTTCATGGTTGAATGTTTCTGTTATCAGATCATTTTCTTTCATCTATCCAGTTCGAAAACCACTGAGAATCAATGTGAATTGATGAAGGAAAAGTAAAAAACAATAGAATGAATGTACAATGTGTAATGTACAAATAATGTATATATTGTGTACTGTAATCTATAAATGTAGGATAAATGTAGAAAATGTAAAAATGTATGGCCACTTTCAATGACAAATATTCAAAATAGGCATCTGCTTCACATTATATAATTTTTCTTTTTTTAGATCTATTTAAAAAAGCTGTTCAAGCTGACTGTTTTACCAGCTTTACAGTTCACAAAAAGTTGCAATTCATTATTTTTTAACATTGTTTTTAATGCACTTTGTACAACAATGAATGGGGCTTTGGTAATGTATTTTTGGTATTTGTTTAAAGCAGAGTTTTTTTTTCTGTTCTTTATTGCACTATTGTAATCACAATTTATGTCTTCTTACATTGTCACAACGATATCCAACAACTTTATTAAACATAGCTTTTAATGAGGATATTGTGCAACCCAAGTTTGCAACGATAGAGTATCCTGACTGTTATTCAAATTAAAGTCTGTAGATTCTCTACAAGGGGGAGCTATTAGTCACTTTTGTGGAAGAAACCCACAACAAAAGGATCTCAGGAATGCATCCGTGCCTGCATTCACATCCTGCGTAAGACTCGTTTTAATGCTAACAGATTCCTCCAATTGATATTCTGAGATGTCATCTGATTAAAGTTGATTCACTTTATAAAAAAAACAAACAAAAAAAACATATAAAGTAAAGAATGTTACTTGTCAGTTACAACCTTCATATTTCTATGTTTAGGCTACAGCTAACAGTAATATTTAACCCAGTGTGGGTACTTGAATGTACACCACTGTTTGCTAGTTACCTGAACTGAATGTGTCTGCATTAAACATATATATATAAAAAATGATGTGTGGCTGTATAATTTTTATGGTTTCATGGTTATATGTTTGTAATTTGTAATTTGTCTTTTAAAAATAAAGTATTTTGGAATCCCTGAAAGGTGCTGCAGAGTTTGCTCCTGTTCAGTTATGTCTATTTTATTGTTTTGGGAAAATAATAAACAAACAAAACAAAAAACAAAACAAAAACAAAAAAACAGATTGCTTCATTACTTGTCAAAATCCTTCCTAATAACATGACTGTCTTCCATTTGCATTTTAGCAGATGGATGGATACCAAATATGTGATTCCAATGTCAAACTTGTTTCTTCCTGTAGGTTTAGGATTTGATAGAACTACCACGTTTGCGATGTGATTCACTTTGTAATAATCTTGAGACCAGGCCTGGGCAATATATAAAAAAAGTATAAAAATAATTATCTACTTCTCCTAGAAGTTCCAGGTTAGAGCTAGCTGCTGTAGGGTAAAAACCCAGTTCTAATGCCCTGAAGTGAGCTTAAGTTCCAAAGCACGTCAGCATTTATTTTAGGTTCCATGCGCTGAAGCTAAGCTTAACGTAAAGTAAAATAAGTAGAGGGTGAAAATCCATGGGGTAGGGAAAGCTATCATTACCATGCACTGCAGAGAGAGCCAACAGATTCGTGACGTCTCTCTGTCTGGTAAACAAAGGAGACTGACCATTCGGTCGCCAGCACACTTCTTAAAGGAACCTGAACTTTAGTTTTCTTTCATATTTAGCAAGCTGTTTATCGGTAAGTTTGTCCCCTCCAGTTCTCTCTCAGTTCTTTCCCAACATGGTGATTATTGCCTTTTACACATTGCCATCAGGTTACTTGTCTACCAATCGATTACACCGCCCTATTGTTCAGGCGTACTTGAGACTGTGTCAATACTAAAAAGTCCTCTAAAACCAATTCAATTCAATGAAATACTGAAAAAAGTGAGATTGGTTGGTAAAGATTGGTTCAACACTAGAAAACCATGAACACACCATGTTATTGACAGCCTGAGGAACACTTACCTTACCACACTGGCTCATCTTCCACCATGTCGTGATGCTCCGATTCTGTGGGACATATTTCACCTACAAATCAGGGAAAGAAGAGACAATGAGAGCTTGCATTGTAGCTTTCTGTCACAAACTCTAACCATATGTTCATATTAGGAGGCGAAAAGTTGCAAATGTCGCCTCAAGTTTGTCTCGTGTCTCATTATCTCTTGGTGTGTTAAAAGACCTTATAGGAAAGTCAGTTCACTAAGCGGCCATCTTGGAAACGCCGCCAGGCAGTTATTTCCAGCCATACAGGACCAGCCTCCTACCTCTTTGAGTAAGGAGTGACCTAAACACTCTAAACTCAAAGCCAAATTATTGTTTCAAAAACATTTTTGAAATCACTGATAAAACCCTCATAAATAGTTTGGAGCGTTTGGCTCAGTAACACACACAAAACAGTTTTTTTTGGGTTGATTTGGCTATTGCGCTTGCAAAGATCTCCACAACAAGGGTGTGCCTGACCTATCCACGGTGTAACCAGCAAGCTGACTGGCTATTCTACTGAAGGGAGGGAATTTCGAACGCCATGTTGAGTGTTTTGAGTGCTCCTATTGACATTTCATCCAGTGACCGTCTCCTCCTTTATAACGTCTCTGGTGTGTTCCAGGCTGCTCTTGTTGTCTACAGTATATGTATCACCGTATAATATGACAAAGTATGTATTATCACAATACATCAAGAAGTGATTATGAAGTATTATATTTCTATAGGATTAAGGTCAGGACTTTGACTTGGCCATTCCAAAACATTAACTTTTTTTTTTTAACCTTCTTTGGTAGAACGACTTGTGAGCTTAGGGTCGTTGTCTTGCTGCATGACCCACGTTCTCTTGAGTTTCAGCTCACAGACAGATGTCCTGACATTTTCCTTTTTGATGGTATAATTCACAGTTCTTTGTTCCATCAATGATGGAAAGCCGTCCTGGCCCAGATGTAGTAAAACAGGCCCAAACCATGATACTACCACCACCATGTTTCACAGATGGCATAAGGTTTTATGCAATATTTTATTTTTTCCAAACATAATGTTTCTCATTTAAACCAAAAAGATGTATCTTTGTCTCTTCCACCCACAAAACATTGTTCCAATAGCCTTCTGGCTAGTCCATGTGATCTTTAGAAAACTGCAGACGGGGAGCAAATGGTTTTTTTTTTTTGAGTGCAGCAGCTTCTCCTTGCAACCTTGCTATGCACACAACTGTTGTTCAGTGGTCTCCTGATAATGCACTCATGAGCATTAGCATTAGTCACTATGAGTCAGGCCTTTAGTTGCTTAGAAGTTACCCAGGGATCCTTTGTGACCTTGCGGACTGTTACACGTCTTGCGCTTGGTGTGATCTTTGTTGGTTGACCACTCCTGGGGAGCATAACAGGGTCTTGAATTTCTTCCATTTGTACCCAGTCTGTCTTCCTGTGGATTGTTGGAGTCCAAACTCTTTAGAGATGGTTTTGTAACCTTTTCCAGCCTAATGAGCATCAACAACTCCTCTTCAGAAGTCCTCAGAAATCTGCTTTGTTCGTGCCATGATACACTTCCACTGTTCTTTAAATAAAACAAGATGGTCACTCACACCTGAGTGCCATCACATCGACTGAAAACACCTGACTCTTAATTTCACCTTTAAATTATCTGCTAATACTAAAGGTTTACACACTTTTGTCACTCAAAGATCTGTACTACTAGATCATTCTCCACCATAAATAAAGACAAAGTCTATTGTTTATTATAAGTTTTAGGTCGAATTTATGCAGAAATATAGACAATTCTAAAGGGTTCACAAACGTTCAAGCACCACTGTAATTGTAAAGTGCTGCTGTTTCCTGTGTTGCTCAGTGTGACCAAGAGCACTGACCAAGGACCTGTTGACTAACATGTCAAAATACCATCCACAGACTGTTGTTGTTGTGCAATGATTTGGGCAGGCAATTTTCAAACTGGTGGTACATAAAGAAAGAAAGAAAGAGTTTACAGTGGCACTTTTTAATCTGTTGCATAGTAACAAAAGACACACATTTAATTGCTGTAAAAATAATTCTATTCAATTTTAGGAAAAAAATAATGAACAATAATGCTCTAAAACATACATACAGATTCATTTCAGCCAGTCAAACTGTTAAGTCTGGTAAACATAGACGGACTGTTACAGCAGACAATTTTCTGCGTTAAATGTAAAAAGCAAGTTTTTTAGTTCTAGTCAATAATTCCTTATAGAACAGGAAAAAGTGCAAAAGAGGAACAGAAACTCCGCCTCTGCAGCTTCATACAACACAGTCATTAGCATTTCAGAGTGAAACTCTTCAAAGACAACAGCAGTGAACACTGTAGCTCAAATCAAACTGAACAAGGCTTGAAGATGGATCTAAGGCACAGGATGCTGAGACCTCATCTCATTTTAATACTTGGTATATTCAATTTTATTCATTTTTCCAGTAGCAATATGTTGTGCCTGTAGTTTAGTTATAAAGATGCATTTTATTCAGTCTTTCAGACTTTGTGAGAGGACAGATGCTCACTAGAACAGCTGTACCTTCAAAATATTTTTTGATACTGAAACTGAAAAAATATGCTACAGTTAAAAAGTTTTGACTCGCTGTTCAAAACTTTAAAGTCAATGCTCTAAATCTGAGGTGTCAAACTCAACCACTTAAGGGGCCACATTAAGAAATCTCAACAAATCTGTGAGGCAGGTGAAAAAAGTTTTTTTCATTTTTAATAAATGTTGTGCTATAACCTGAACTGGCCACTGTTTATTCAAAATACGCAAAAAAATTCAACAGTAAAATACAGGCACTTAAAGTAGATCTTAAAATATTACATGAATACTAGAAATATCTATAATTTAAATGTCCCCAGAAACTCAGTCTTTTAAACCTGCCTATTTGCTTGGACTAGATTCCTGGCATCCTTTCTTTGCTGCAAGTTCATTAAGACTTGGTCTCAGTTTCTGAGCTGCTCAACTGATGTTAAGTGGTAATATTAGCTGAACTGCAGCTGAAATGCAGGTGTGGAGTTGAGCAGAATTGTGTACAACTAAAGTGTAACCACTGTCCCAGAGACTGTTGTTGGGGTAGGAGAGTCAGAGCACATTACATTGCAGTGCATGCTGGGGACTGTAGTGTAGCGCACTGTGAAACGTCTAATATTAACAGAAAATTAAAATACTTCTGTGGGCCGGACAGGATTGTGTCATGGGCCTGATCTGACCTGCAGGCCTTGTGTTTGACAGATGGGTTCTAAATAATACAAAACTGACGTGGTTGCAGAAAACAGAAGATGCTTTGCTAAACTTTAGCAACAGACGCCTCCAGTTCTTCATGAAGTTGTTCTTTAAGCGTTAATGACTTCATTTCCTTTTGAGTAAAGCAGGATATGTATGATGGTAATGTAGACATTGGCATGGCCAGTTAGAAACTTTCCACTTTATTCCCAGTGGGGGAAACAACAACTTGTGTGTTTTGAGTCTCTCAGTTGTTTGCGTGAAGCTTCATCCAATCAGTCTTGGTGTTTTTTTTCTTTTCTTTTTTTTATAATCTCTTAATACACAGACAAGATGCTTAAACTGCTGAAATCAATGCATTTGTCTCACCTTCAATTAGTCAGTTCCAGTTCCAGAGAATGCTCTAACGCTTGTAACTATTCCTGCAAATGCCTTTTCTGAAATGCTAGACCTGAGGTCATAAGATTCATTATTTAATGCTTTCAATTTGCCGTGTTCTGTTCTGTGTTTCTTTTTAGCAATACTCATTGACAATTTCACTAGAAACACCTACCATATAGGTAGGTCATTCTCCATTTGCAGTGGGAAGCCATGTCACAAAGGCTGCAGGGCTTAAAAAGTTGACCTAAGATTAAATAACACTTTTCCCTTATGACTGTCTGATTTTTCTTTTTTATACTGTTTCAAAGTCGCTCTGTATCTGTAAAACAGCTCGTCACAAAAACAATTTTCAACATTTGAGAAACATTTTTAATGTAAAACATGTTTTTAAGAGGTTTAACTTAGCAATTTGTATAAAACAGATTCGTGTTTACTTTTTATTTCATTAATGTTATAATACATTTAAAAAAATACATTTTATTTAAAAAATTCATTAGTCAGATTTGGTAACTGGTGTTTTCAGGACTCTTATTTTACATTTTAACATAATATTTTCAGCTCTATTAAACTGCTTCTTTGGGTCGAGGCTCATCAGAGAGGAAGCATCTCAAGGCGTGAGAAGGCGAGTCACACTCGCTCACTATATTTCATTAATTTATTAATAATCTTATTTATCAGGCAGCTCAGAACTTCTATGTGTCACTGTTGTTTTGTGCTTTAATGGCTGGGTAATTAAAATTGTCAAAAATAATGCCAAATTATAATTTTTTTTACAGATTTTAAATAGTTACACAAGGTCACCTGATCAACCAATGAATCAGCCCATTTTCAGAATCCTCAGTTTTAACCAGAATGTCACTGGAGTCACCGTCACTGATGTTACACCATATTCATACAACACCAGGGACTGTAAAATATGTTTGGAGTTAATCTCCTTTTTTGCATATATGATAACAGGAGATGTTCATGAACATATTAAGAATGTTTAGTTTGGGGATGAAAAGAATACTTTTCTTAAGAAATGTATCGACCTGAATTCCCACTCCAAATAGAGAATGATCTGGCTAAAATCTGCAAGTGTACAATTACTGACTTTCCAATTCTGTCCGTCTGTTGCTGCACAATTGATCAGCCCTCCCTCCACCTCATTCATCACTGGTCAGTTTCTGACCACAGTGCTGCTGTTGTCCAGATATTATTTGGGTGGCGGTCCACTCTCAGCACAGCAGTGACTTTGATATGGTAGTGTGTGTGTGTGGTGTTGGTATAACTGCTAGGTTGAGAGTGGAGCACCATCCAAAAATATCTAGACAAGAGCAGCTATGTGGCCAGTGATTGAAAGGCTAGAGGATGGCTTACACAAACTGCAAAAAGGCAGGTTATAGTCGCTAAGACCTGAAATATACTTCACATACACTAATCAGGCAAAACATTATGACAATATATCCTTGTTTCTACGCTCATTGTCCATTTTATCAGCTCCACTTACTATATAGGTGCACTGTGTAGTTCTACAGTTACAGACTGTAGTCCATCTGTTTCTCTGCATACTTTGTTAGCCCCCTTTTACCCTGTTCTTCAGTGGTCAGGACCCCCATGGACCCTCACAGAGCAGGTGCTATTTGGGTGGTGGATCATTCTCAGCACTGCAGTAACACTGATGTGGTGGTGGCGTGTTAGTGTGTGTTGTGCTGGTCTGAGTGGATCAGACACAGCAGTGCTGCTGGAGTTTTTAAACACCTCAGTGTCACTGCTGGACTGAGAATAGTCCACCAACCAAAATATCCAGCCAACAGCGTCCTGTGGGCAGCGTCCTGTGACCACTGATGAAGGACTAGAGGATGACCAACACAAACTGTGCAGCAGCAGATGAGCTATCGTCTCTGACTTTACATCTACAAGGTGGACTGACAAGGTAGGAGTGTCTAATAGAGTGGACAGTAAGTGGACACAGTGTTTAAAAACTCCAGCAGCACTGCTGTGTCTGATCCACTCGCACCAGCACAACACACACTAACACACCACCACCACGTCAGTGTTACTGCAGTGCTGAGAATGACCCACCACCCAAATAGTACCTGCTCTGTGAGGGTCCATGGGGGTCCTGACCACTGAAGAACAGGGTAAAAGGGGGCTAACAAAGTATCAGAGAAACAGATGGACTACAGTCTGTAACTGTAGAACTACAAAGTGCACCTATATAGTAAGTGGAGCTGATAAAATGGACAATGAGCGTAGAAACAAGGAGGTGGACATAATGTTATGCCTGATCAGTGTAAGTATGTGAATGCTAACTGTTTCATACGCCGTGCTTTCTTAAATTTGTCATGTCGCAATTCATAATGCAAGGCAAGCATGAGTTGCATTGAGTGTTGCAGCAAGAGGTGCTGTAGCCATAGACATGTCTGGCCAAACTGTTTCGTACTGCTAGTGCGCTTTATTCTGGTCAGCTGTCATGACAGACCAGCAGTCTGTTGCACACCTGGTTTGTTGGTATGAATATTTGACACAACAAAAGAACAAGTAAAGCAGCACCCATTCTTCTACTGTCCACATAATTAGCTGCTGGAATAAGAGCAGATCCTGATTACAGACGTTTGTCCTCTATGGCCCCCCTTAAGTACTGAGTGCTTTAGCTGCCACAATAACTTAAGAACGCATATTGAGCTTGTACAGCAGGACTGTGTGTTGGTAATGCTTCGACTGGGTATTATTTGCATCTGTGTACTTGTGTTGAGTATGTTTTCTGTCACAACTCTACACCAGCAAAAAAGGAGCTAAAAGGAAGGAATGTCTAATAAATTGGACAGTAAGTATAAATGGTTCTTAAAAACCATCAATATAAAGTATAAACCTACAGAATGTTGGGCTCCCCGCTGCAAACAATTTTTTTTTATTATTTAATCGCACAGTTACTTCATATTTGAGTAGCTTTAAAAATAAAGTTGTGGCATGTGCAAAGCTTTGGGCACTTTTACAAAGTCTCAGAACTTAATTGGGCCCACTTTCATATTAGTGTCTCTAATAACTGTGTAGTTACATGTGAACAACATATGCAACAACAATGTAACTAATAATAATTTAGTCCCTGTTACAGATGGATTACAGTAGTACAGCTTCTGTAATCACATGTGTATCAACACGGAGTGTAATAATTTCTGTGGCACTTCAAACCTTGTGCTAAGACTCAACAACCATGGGCTCTTCTAAGCAGCTGACTGAGGATCTGGAAATGAAGCTAACTGATGTCTACAAGTCAGGGGAATCTATAAAAACACATCAAAGCTAGCAGCTTCCTATCAGCTCGCAATCTCCACCATCCAAAATGTTAACAAACGGCACTTAAGGGGAACAGTGGAAGTCAAGGCAAGATCTGGGAGACCAAGAAAACTTTTAGATAGAGCTGCATGTGGCCTGAACAGACGGATAGAACAAAACCCCTGTATAAACAACAAAATAAATAAATGTATATTTTTCATAATTTAAGAAAGAAAACATTTTTAGCTGCCTGGTGAGGAGTGCTCGGCTGTCTGGTTACAAGTGCTGAACTGTTTCGTTTCTCAAGAGCATCAGCTTAATACAAACAGCAAACATTAGCTTTCTTAAATTTGCCATGTCGCAATTCATAATGCAAGGCAAGCATGAGTTGCATTGAGTGTTGCAGCAAGAGGTGCTGTAGCCACAGACACGTCTGGCCAAACTGTTTCGTACTGCTAGCGTGCTTTATTCTGGTCAGCTCTCATGACAGACCAGCAGTTCTAGCAGTCTGTTGCACACCTGGTTTGCTGGTATGAATATTTGACACAACATCGCCTTGTTAATCCAAAAGAACAAGTAAAGGTTTGGGCACTTTTGTAAAATCTCAGAACTTAATTGGTCCCAGTTTTTATTAAGTGTCTCTAATAACTGTGTAGTTACATGTGAACAACATATGCAACAACCATGTAACTACTAATAATTTAGTCACTGTTACAGATGGATTACAGTAGTGCAGCTTATGTAATTACACGTGTATCAACTTCAGTTTTGCCTCATGTAATTACACAAGTGTAATAACACTGTGTAAATTTCATGATAAATGGACCAAAAGAAACAGCCCAAGACGTCTGGTTCCATTGACTTACATTAAACATAAAGTAGGTTTTTTCTTCTCCTGTAAAGTTACCATTTTGGAGATACGAGGAACAGTGATATGTGACAGTACAGCAGATGTCCCCTTCTCTTAAAATGTAACTTTTATAACATTAATTAAATGTGTTGCATTTCCCCCAAAGCAATGTCTATATTACCACTCCATTATTACACAGTACCTACGTAACAACTACACAGCAACCGTCCACTTATTTTAAAGTGTAACTTTAACACTAAACTACAGAAAAGTTCCTGTGTAGAAGATACACTTGTATAATTACATAAGGCAACACTGAAGTTGATGCGCATGTGTAATTACATAGGCTGTACTTCTGTAATCCATCTGTAACAGTGACTAAACCATCAGCAGTTACAGTGTAGCTGCATATGGTATTCATGTGTAACTACACAGTTATTAGAGACACTTAATATAAAGTGGGACCACTTAATTAACTTGTTAGAGTATTAACTGACTCATTAGAACTGACAGGCAGATCAAGAACTGACATTAGGATGTGTCGGAGTGTAATAATTTCTGTGGCACTTAAAACCTTGTGCTAAGACTCAACAACCATGGGCTCTTCTAAGCAGCTGACTGAGGATCTGGAAATGAAGCTAACTGATGTCTACAAGTCAGGGGAAACTATAAAAACACATCAAAGCTAGCAGCTTCCTATCAGCTCGCAATCTCCACCATCCAAAATGTTAACAAACGGCACTTAAGGGGAACAGTGGAAGTCAAGGCAAGATCTGGGAGACCAAGAAAACTCAGTTAGAGCTGCATGTGGCCTGAACAGACGGATAAAACAAAACCCCTGTATAAACAGCAAAAGACCTGCAGAGCTGTGTCTGTAATATTCATCACAGACATTCTATCACCAAGAGACAATACTTTTTGTTAAATTAATTCAAATCAATATTCAAGTTTTCCTAGTTATTTAACTTTATCTCTCAAAACATTCATGAAATTTAGAGCCGGGTATGATGGATGGTATGTTGGAGATCTCTGGTTTGAACCTGTAAGCTTAGATTTGTGTCACTGCACTTCTGAGAATGATACACCACTCAATAATAATACCTGCTCTGTGGTGGTCCTGTGGGGGTCCTGGCAATTGGACAGGGTTTAAAGGGATAACGAAGTATGCAGAGAAATATATGAACTACAGTCTGTAACTGTAGAACTACAGAGTGCTCCTATATGGTCAGTGAAGCTGATAAAAGGGATAATGAGTGCAGAAACAAGGAGGTGGACCTAATGAGGTGGCCAGTCTGTGTATATGTATATCAAAGTTATAAATAATTTCCTTCTGTTTTTATTTGCATATCACCTACTGTTTCAATTTCTTTGCCAAGTTTTGTCCTGATTTATTAATTACATGGTAAGCAGAACTAAGAAAATGGACAGTGAGTGGAAATACAAGGACATAATGAAGTGGTCAGTCAGTGTACATAATTTAGGGACCTTTGGTTTGCAGTTAAAACAACATCTGAATACAACAAGTCCTTGAAGTAATTTCCTTGCTTACTAGAGCTATGTTCAACTCATTTAAACACAAAATATCCTCCCTGAAATTTGCTGCTTCTGTACTATTTGGTCTTTGTGTTTTTCACGCTAACAAGTTTTAGAAGTGTAGCCTTTACAAATCTGGGGTATTCTGCCATAAATTCACATCATTTTTTTATATTTCGTCAGAACCAAACTGCTGATTTCTGTGTAGTGACTAAATTTCTTACTACATGTTGAGAACTGGTTTATTTTCTTTTTTATGCCTACAGTCACTCTTCAGACCTCATGAAGATGTTTGGTGATGCTAGCACGACAAACTCAGTGTAGTTATTTCATGCAAGCAATATGCAACCAATAATGATGTTTGTATTACTGAAATTTAAATTATCATAAGATTTTTGCTTAAATAAAAAGCAATTCATATTCCAAAGAATGAAACATAGACAGCCAAATAGAAGACTGAAGGCTAACATTTGCTTCATAACATCTAGATTTTGTGTGTTACTAGGGCTGGGCGATACGTTTGATATTGATATGTATCGTGATAGATGTCAAATCATTATCTCTTTCAAGTTTGAAGGCTGATTTTTCGCTCCTGAGTGATTAACTGCTATTTTAAACTATCCTTTATGGTCAGAAAATGACACTCACTCACCAAACAGTGGAACATTTCACAAATCTGTCGTGGGAGAGTGGGAGAAAGTTTCTGGTTGGCTGTTTTTACCAGCTGGAAAAGCACAGCCGCAGTTTTTGTAATGTTCATAATTTAAGAAAGGATTATTTTAGCTGTCTGGTGACGAACGCTAAACTGTTTAGTTTCTCAGCAAATTCAGCTTAGTACGAACAGCAAACATTAGCTGGCTCGGTTCATCAGTGACGGATCACACCGCCTTACTGCCATCAGTCCCACCACATCCATGTCAGAGTGGATCACAGTATTCAGACACCAGCTAGCAGAAGACTGGGTTTCTCTATACTATCGTAGCAGTTTGAGGGGTGAACCGCAGCATATCTGACTCTCGCTGTGTAAAAGCATTAACTGCAGTGTGATTCTCTCACACCAGACAAACAGAGTCCTCCTTTTAGGTACGTTTCAACTGAAATCAGCGCTTTTGTGTCTTGTTTGAGCTACAGTAACTTCAACCCGTGTTGTGTGAGTGACAGAGCGCTGCTTAAGTTAGCCATCTGCTAAAAACAGCTAGCCTACGAAGCTAGCATTCTCTCACTCTCCCATTTCACACATACAGCATCCCACAGTTTACTTTAAATCAGGGCTGTAATGAACATGAACCCACTTCTTTCTTTCACTTTCGTTGCTTGGGAAGCACTAATACTAAAATACGACTGAGCACTGTAACAGTGCTGTAGTTGTGAGGAGCAGACGTGATTTAACGCTGCTAAAGCTGGTTAGAATGTTAGATAAGAGGTGAGTTCACTGTAGGACAGTACAGTTACACCACTGATCTCATCACTCACACTTGGTCACAGGAGAACAGATCGCCGGTCGCTCCACTCAAACAGTGAGCATATAACTCCACGTTTCAGATGTTGCTAAAGTATATCTGATGACTCATTTCACTTCTTGACCCCAACCTCTCTAATCATGTTGAAAAACTTGGAACTGCACCCTCTTGTGGCGAAAGCAGAGTAGTTTTTTTAACAAAACAGAATTTCTATCATCTATTAAATAATCTATTTTTAAATGTAAGCATGCACTCCTGTCTGGCACAGATCAGTTGTTATTGCAATGTGGTACTGCATTGTGTAGCAGAGGCAAACAGGCCTCTAATGTTTAGACACAGAAGGCTTTAATCAGATTTTTTTAGTCTATAAAGACAAAGGTTTTTCTGCAAACTAAAATATTAGCTTGGAGGTATTTCACTGAGATACATTGGTTAAAGAATGGTAATAAAAGATTTCAAACTCAAACATGAGGTTTCATCTTTGCCATTTAAAGTAAAACCAGAGAAAGTGCCCCTTCTAGACCTTTACAAACAGGCAATCAAATTCCCTATAGCACTCTTCAAACACTTAAAATCAAAAGCAGATCTTTCTGGACTTTTTACAGACAGTCTAAACAGTATTTTGTGTTGGTGTTAATGAACTACCTTCCTATAGAAATGTATGCAAATTATTTTTTGGCCCAGTATGACTGACAGCATCGTCCCGACTAATCTCAGAAATATCCATAAACTGAAGACCATTTTCAGTACACCAACAGGCTCTCAAAATTTAGTGATCATGTCTTTTCTTACAACTTAACTTTTTTTGTTCATAACACTTTCATCACTAAACAAAATCACACTCATCCATAATTCCTGTATTTCCACTGTCAGTCCAGGTGGGTATGTTTTTGCCTTGTTCATCATTTCAATCCAACCTGCCCAATCCAAAAAAATTAACCTCTCCATCAGGGCATTGTTTCCAACCTTCTTCAAATTAGTCTGAAATTCAAGGTACGTGAATAACACACTGAGGATTAAAAATGCTGAACCCGTCTTGGAAGCTTCTACAATTATGACAACTGAATGAAATGTTTGTGTCTCAGCTCTAACTGTTGGTTTAACAACAAATCCCTTCTTTGTTTCAGTAACCAGCATTTTTGGTGTTTCAATGTGGGCTGGTAAGTTTCCTTTTATATAAATTACACACTGGAAAACTGTGGAGACTCTCTTTTAAACGTCTTCATTATTCTTTATTTTTGACAGACGACTCAAATATAAGACTCGTCAAAGGAAATGACTCATGTTCTGGTAGAGTGGAGGTCTATTATAACAGCCAGTGGGGAACAGTGTGTGACAATAACTGGGACATCAATGATGCAGCGGTGGTGTGCAGAGAGATGAGATGTGGCAGAGCGGTCAACGCCACTCACAGTGCCCACTTTGGTCAGGGAAGTGATCCAATACTGCTGGATGATGTTGGCTGTTCTGGAAATGAAAGCTCTCTCTCTAATTGCTCTCATAGTGGATTTTACACACACAACTGCAGTCATGGTGAAGATGCTGGTGTTATCTGCTCAAGTAAGGAAAACCTCATTTTCAATTCATAACCATGTAATATTGATATTGCTGCTGCACTGATCCCTCTAATCAATTATCTGGTCAGTAAACATACAAATATATAACGCTGAAATAGAAGAACTCCACCACTCTGTGAGCTACTCTGCGTAAAAAAGTGGCTGCATAAACATTAGTTCTCTTAGCTCAGCCAAATCTTACTCACTAGGTCTTGAAGGAGGTCAATGTAAACATTACAATGTTTTAAATGAAGACTGTTGTAGAAGCTTTCATAAAACATTCAGGAAAATATAAAGTCTTCATGTGTAGCGTCAGCGCCTGCCACCAAACTGCAAGTTGTTAACAGACACACAAGCACTAATGGAGGCTTTTTACATTAAACTCTCCACACTAGAACATATTCCTAAATAACCTGTTTTTCCTGTTTACTTGTAAATTATTTTAGTGATTTGAAACATAAAATTGATATGATAATCACCTACAATGAGAATTAGATTAACTATAGCAGAAATATATTAACAGCCAGATCATACAAATAAAAATATGCACAGGTAAGTAAAGTACAGGGATATGTTGTTTAAGAAAGCTTTTTGTTTTTTAATCTGGTTAACCATTCCAGATACATGCAGGACAGTAATTACATTGAAAAGCCATACCATGCTTACCACATTCAAACCAAAGTGCCTGTTAAAGGTTATTCTTGTCCACCGTCTTTTACTAACACAATCACAATACGAACAAATGTGGAGCTACGTGAATTCCTGAACACACAGACACACAGTACCTTAGCAGAGGAGCTAAGCTAGTGTACTCAGAATAATCAAAACAATGTCAAATTACAATTTTGACAACAGAAAGACAGGGAGATATACGAACCAAAGTTTTGCTACTGTTATGTCGAACTTGCAGATCTCTTAAAAGGTACACTGTACATGTCTGCAATAAACAATACTGTTCTACATTCAATACAAAGGCATAAATATACCACACTCCTCCCACCACAGATTTTAACCCACAGCACTAAACAAACCCACTCCACATTCATGACTACTGAATAAAATTGATTTCCCCAAATCCAGAACACACCCAGGGCTAAATCTGCCCTGATGTGTACATTATGAGCTTCATATGTACATTATGAGGCTCCTAGCACATTGAACTTGTGCTTCTCTACTCAGTTCTTCTATAAAGACTTAAATACTGACGATTGTTCAGCTTGCACTTCCTCAGACGGGTCAGGATGAACATGTTTGTCAGATGCTCTACCCATCTAAACTCCACAGTCAGGTCAATAGTCCAGAAAGGCACTGTTTCCCTCACTCTGCTGTTCTGAAGAGCTTGATGTCAACCTGTGATCTATACGTACTCTAACTTGGCATGGCCCGATTTCTATAAGGCAGGTCAAAGGGTTCTCTTCTCTTCCAGACTGAACATCCAAACATGGTTACTTGTCATGAGCGTTCTGTTGTTGTAGCTGGTGCTTGGGAATAACCTCCAACACGTCCGGCTTCAGCAGTGACAGACGTGTGTGTGGTTGATGCTTCAAAAACAATTCTGCTGGCATGCATTCAATCACTAGCTGCGTTCCAAAGCCTAGGCTGCAGCAGAGGTAAGCTGCATCTCTCTGCTGCTATGTCATAGCGGGCCGTTCCAATTTTATTTAGAAGTATTTGTGTGTATGTAGTTTATCTTACTACATAAAAAACATCTCCATTTGTTGCTTTTTCAAAATGGAAAAGCAACAAACACAATGGAACAGGCTCCATTTTCTCTCACCAGCTCCCTCGTGATTTATCGTGCCACTCTGGCGACGTCACCATGCAGCCTTGTTAGGACTGTTCCATTTGTGTGACCAATAGGCTACTAAAGAGGAGTCTTCACAGGACAGTCCTACCGAGGACCCGCCCTACCTCTGCTGCAGCCAGTCTGGTTTCACAAGACAAGACAATTTCTGAATATCTTCGGCTACGTTTACACAGCAGGTAAAAGTGACCCAAATCCGATCTTTTACTCCATATGTGACACAGATGTGTCATCTTTGTGGCAGTGTTGAACAGCAAAAAACACATTTAATCTGATATTTTCTATTCCAATTTGAGACGCTTTTATATATGGTACTGAAATCCAATCCATATCCGATATGCAGCGATGCGACTCAGTCTGAACAGCCAGATCGGAATTCATACTTTTACGTCAATCCAACTTGACGCTCGTTATCATTTCGCACTGCCGAGACCTCATAAACAATTAGGCTCATGTTTGTGTACTGAAAAATCAGAAGGCACTTATCGCAACCGCTCCACGTTTGAAGAGATTTTGAAAGAAATGGACGAACGCAGCTCTAGGAGAATGAGGCTGCAGCGTCTACGAGAAGTCTGACAGCAAAGTTTAAAGAATCCGAGGATGTGGACCGTGCCCGAATAACGTGTCCTTTTTACAGTGAGCTCAAACAGATTTTGGGTGATGAGCCCAGCTGTCAGTCAGTGAAGCTTCATGATGGCTCCTGTGATGCTGGAGAAGATGAAGCTGAACCCTCTGTGAGCTACTGGCATTCTTTGGCAGTCGTGATTGTTTACCTCTGGATGAGCCACGTGAAGCATTGTTCTGTGTGATACAAATCACATTTAAAAGATATTGTGAACAACCAAACGAAAAAAAAAAATCGGACTTGTTGAGAAAATCAAATTTGGGCCACTTTTACCTGCTGTGCGAACGTAGCCTTTATCCACTCCTGGCCACCACAGGAAGCTTCGGGCCAATGCTTTCATCCGAGTGATTCCATCATGTCCTGAATGTAAGTCACCCAGTAACCTCCTTCCAAACTTCAGGTGATGCAACCACCTATGATCCCCACGGAGTTGTGTCTTGTCTCCACTGTAATGTCCTTCGCAGAAATAGGCCATTCATCTACATGTGAGACTTGGCACTGTCCACTAACCCCAAAAAAAATCCTGATGCCTAAAAATAATTTTTTTTTCAGTAACTCTACCTGCTCCACGCATCTCTCTCAGCCCCACTAAAGAGGTCGCATGGGGAGAGAAGGTTGACATCACCTGCTCTGTGAAAACGTGGATTCTTCACCTTGAAACAGCATTCTGGGTCATTTAGAGGGACCAAAAGGGAAACCTCAGTCACCTTTTACCTCAGTTTACCAAAACTGAATTGAGGGGTCTTACTACTGCCAGTACCAGACCATGATTCTCCAGTCTCCAGTCATGATTTCCGCTCTCTACTAAGACAAATTCTTCTTGGATTTTTTGTCATCAATTCCAGACTAATATTTTGCAGATGTTTTAAAATGTTCCTGCTGTGCTCATTTACTGCTGTTCAAGATATTTCAACTGTACCCACTAGTTAAACACGGTTCCTGAGATACAGTGGGGTCCAAAGGTTTGAGACCACATTGACTGACCTGTTGTTTATTTCCAGGTCCCATTTAAACCTGGGAATAAACAAATAGGTTTAGAATTTTTTAAAAAGAAAAAATTAAGACAAAATGAAAAAGTATTCATATTTTAATTATTTGGTCACAACTGAAATTAAGCTATCTTTTGCCGTTGACCATGTTAAGGCTTTTGTACAAAAAGGTGAAATTTATTTTAGTTTTATCTCTTTTCCATTTCTGCTTATAATCAGACAACTCTCAGGTAGATGTGATCTGCTCATCAGAGTTTTTTTTGTGCAGCTCAAGTGCACGAGTCATCACTGGCTCCTTTCATTGCTTCTGGAGTGGCAGCAGGACTGTTACTCATATCAGTGCTAATCATCATTTTCTTCATAAAGAGACGTAAAAAGCAAAAATACCAGATGGCTGTGAAGACGGATCATAAACACTGTGAGTACTTTCTATTCTTAATTATACCGTATTTATACAGGGTGATTCAAAAAGATTAATCCGATTTCAAAGCGCCATATTTTTAAAACCGTGAGGCGCCTATAGGAACCAATCACATACCAATTGAAAGAGGGGGTCATAGAGTGTCTGACTGTCACCAGAAGATGGCTCCCTTCAGTCTGAGGAGATGAGACCCCTGAGCAGAAAGCATCCTGCGTTCTCCGCTTCAAATAAGAGTAAATCCGTCATAACTGTGCAGTGTGATTTTCGTCAGTATTGAACCTCTAACAGCTCAGAACGTTCGCCGTTGGTTCCACAACACTGGATGATCTCCGAAATCGCACTGAAAGAGCCGTGAGTGCAGCGACATCCGACACTTTGACTATGGCGTTGATGTTGTCCGTACAGCTGGAGGAGGTTCATATTCAGCACTTATAAAATTACATAAACTTTATGCCCACTTAAACCATTTACAATTTACAGAATTGTTCTGTAATGATTTACAAGTGAAATAAATCATTTTAAAATTGGACGAATCTTTTCGAATCACCCTGTATTATGTTCATTAAACAATCCTTTGAAAAACTAAACGGAGGCTCTTTGTATATAACATCCAGTGTTTGGTGTAGACAAATTTGCTGCCATAAAATCTAACCAGCTAACCAGTTTTCATATTGCAGCAAGTTAAGTTTTTTCACACAATCCTTCTGTAGGTGCCAAAAACACATACAGGGATACCGGAGGGAGGACTGAGATGGATGACGACAAAGTTTATGAAAATGCAGAAACCGTTTTTCACCAGAAAGAAGATTCAGACAATTCTAGTGAAGACTACACTAATGTAGGCGCTGAGGAGAATGTCTGCAATGACTATGCGGGTAAGCAAATTTATGTAAATTGTGCAGGACAGTACATGGAATGAAGCAATTTCAACAATCCAAATAAGAGTTTTTGTTGTTAAAAATGTACATAATAGTAAAACTGTGTAGGAAAATGCTCCACTGTAACATTTGGTTAATAAGGTTAGTGTTTCATTTTTTTGCAAATGTAATTTGACACAATCGTTACTTAGGTGCCAAAACCACAAGTGGGATTACCAATACAGGGAACGAGACGGAAGATGACGATTATGAAAATGCAGAAGTCTGGGTCCACCAGAGAGAGGATTCAGATGTCTCTAATGAGGACTACATATACAGGAATGCAGAAGCAGAGGAAAGAGCCGTAGACAACGACTATGAGGACAAACAAATTTATGCAAACGTAGATTAGTATCGTAAACTGAAAAATGTCAATGATTCAGTGAACCTCACTTTAAATGTATCAATAGTAGTCAACGGATTAATCGGGCCTAGTAATGCCATTCTGAGACAGCCTTGTCAGTGTGGCTGCTGTGGAACAATGTTAGTGCTTCCCATTGTGTTCATTTCACCAGTCTATGAGTGACGTCAGTGCGTGATGTAAAACAGTGGGAAACGTACCAATGTTGGATGTAAAGTTTCCTGGGAGAAAACAGCAAGATTTAAACTCTAGCATTGAAAGCTCAGTATATTTAACTGGCTACTCTTAATAACATATCGCTGTTGTCAGAAGAAAACCTTGTATGTCCAAAATGGTAACTTTGCTGGAGAAGGAAAAAACCTGTTACTCTTAATGTAAGTCAATGGAACCAGATTTTTTTCCAAGTCATTTTGGGCCATTTCTTTCATCATGAAATCAAAACACAATATAAAAGGTAACAGGCATTTTCAAATTGTCAAAAACGAAAAAACGACAAAAATGGAGATACAAGATTTCTTCCGAAGCAGCGATATAAATGTTCACTGTCTGTATAATTAATTTGGTTCCTGTCTTTTAATGAGAAAATACGAATTACATTAGCGGTGTTACTTCACTTCAACCAGCTAAACTAGCTTTCAAGGCTCAAAAATCTATTGGTCTGAAGCCAACAATCTGCTATTGTAAGCGACTGATTTGATATAAGACACCCAACGTTAGTTACAGTCAGTTGCATTTGCTAATGCGCTAGAGACGGCCTTGATTCAACATGCTGGCTTACATTAGCAGGAGTCTAAAGCTTGCGTTAGTGTTATCAACTTGCCAACAATGTTTTGGGCAACGAACGTACACAAAGCTGAGTCTTCTTATTCGCCAGCTTCTTGTTTAAATTTCCCGTTCTATCTTAAATGGAGGTGCCAGAATGCAACTGCTGCACCATTTGAGGTGGAACAAGAAAATCTGAACAAGAAGCTGGCGAATAGGAAGCCAACTTCAGACTTGTCGAACATTATGAGCTTCTAGCCAACATACAGTTTCTTCATGTGTGTGCGTGTCTGTGCTTCAGTACAACACCAGGATAACCTGGCCCAGTGTTTAATGAGATAGTAGTGGATTCATGGAATCTCCACTGTATCACACAGCTGTCACTTCTAGTCACTTGGTAGATGATGAGCAGGTTGTGCAATACAAGTGAACAGAGTATTTTTTGTGTTTGCTTAGATTGGCTGCTTTATATCATACATAACATGCATCAGGACAGTTTTGGGAATTTGGTGAAAAAGAGCCCTGTACTATAACTCTCATGCACCCTGCTTTAAACGTTTGCTTAATTTCCTTGGTTATCATTGTTTTTTCTAAATGATAACACGCTTTTCCCAAACTAAATGACAGTAAATCTAATCAAAAACTGTTAATGGCTAGCATTAAATATATATTTTCTTAAGTACAGAATAATGCAGTTAAATAACACAGAATGCAGAGATGATGCACACAATAACAGTGTTAAATAAAAGTTCAGCAATTTTGTGTCTCATTTATTATTATTACTATTATTATTACTATTATTAATTGGTTGTTGTATTTTGTCAGATGCAAAAAAGACATCTGAGCTACTTACAGTACGGCGTGGAGACGCCGCAATACATTTTGTCAGCACAACACTCTTGTATATTTATACTTTTTAACTGCACTGCTTAAAAGTATAAATATATACCATCTCAACATCACGCTGTGCTAGACAGCATGTCGTCCCAGCAAAGCTGCACACAGTGCCCTGCCAGACTGGACTCTTACTAGGGCCACGATGTATGCACTTCGTACCTTGAGTCAGACCACCTCCATAAAGCGTTGGTCAACACATGCATGCATTATGCTATTACGCCCTAGCCCGCCACTAAGAGAGGCTAGAGGGCCTGGTAGACAGAGCAAATTGGCTCTGCAGGGAAAGCAGCTAGGCTGAAGATTCAGATTTTTCAGCGGATGAAGCCGCGGATGTGCTAAACACAATCTCTAAGTGTCTCTAAGTGTGGTGCTAAAGACGATTTTTTGGGATGAGTTTTAACAGCAGAACTCTTGCACAAAGTCTGACACTCTGAGAAAGCAGGAAGAAAACAGAAGAGAAATTATTAACTTACATTAGCGATTATGAACGTAAGTTTTTTAAGCACTGCAATTAAAAGGCAGACCCACTGGATTCTACAAAAACAGACTAGAATACACCCCAACAGAGGTGAACATGATATTTGGAGGCAGAGGGGGCTTAGTAATTGGAGCTCTGGGCTATTGATCACAGGGTGGAGGGTCTGCTAAGTTGCCACTGCTGGGCTCCTGAGCAAGACATTTAACCCTCTCTGCCTCAGGGGCACTGTATCACAGCTGACACTGCGCTCTGACCCCAGATTTCTAAGCTGGGATATGTGAAAAGAGAATATTGTGTCATGATTTTTTTCAGCCTGATTTTTAAACATGCATACAATGTACAAGATCGCGCTTAGACTACCGCAACAGTTTCAGACTCAATGTCAAATATGCATATATGTCAATACGCATATATAGTCATTTTTAAACCTTGACGCGTGTTTCTTTTGTCCATTAAAATGAACGTGGTGTGGTGCGGTGCGAGCAGGCCTTAAGAAAGCAGAAATTTGATTAGGCCTATTGTTCTTTGGCCAGTTTCCCAACATTACTTAGAACGTTATACCCATCAACTTCTTCAAACGTGGTATTTAATCAGGATATTGTACAGCCCTAGCTGGCAACGATAAGAGTATCTTTCAAATTAAGGGTCAAAGAGTCTCCACAAGGAGGAGCTATTAGCACTTTTGTGGAAGGGAAGAAATCCACAACAAAAGGATTCCACAAATGCATGAACTCCCTGTTTAAAACTATTTTTAATACTCAACGGCTCCTCCAGTGATATTCTGAGAGGCTATCATTTGATATATTTAGTAATTACTGCACATACAAAGAATGTTACTTGTCTGTTACAACCTTCACATTTCTATGTTTAGGCTACAGGTAACAGTAATATTAAACCCAGTGTGGAGTATGTGGATATACACCACTCCTTGCTAGTTACTTATAAAATGAATGTTTCTGCATTTAACAGTGCTAGATGATGGTGTGTGGCTGTATCATTTATATGATCATACGTTTATATTCTAAGGTTTTGTAATTTGTCTTTCAAAAATAAAGTATTTCAGTATTCCTGAAAGGTGCTGTAAGCTGTCTGTTACTGTTCAGTTACATGTTTTTTTTATTGTTTTGGGAAAAAAAACAAAAAAACTGTTTACTTGATTTCTCGTAAAAATCCTATGCAATAAAATGACTGAACTCTATTTGTATTTTAGCAGAGACAGAAAATACATATTTGGTATATGTTTCTTATCAGATATTCTCATCAGATATTGGATGTCAGTTCGTCTCTTAATGCAAGATCACCAAATAACTAAAACACCTCTGATTCTAGATCTTATTAAAGAGCATAAGCTTGATTTTGTGTTTCTAGCAGAAATGTGGTAAAAGTGAAAACGGCACAGTAACTTGAAGCTGCTTCTGAAAACTACAGACTTCTGCATACAGTGAGACAGTAAGACGGGCAGATGAGGACGAGGAGTGGTATGTATTTATAATAATAAAAGTACCACTACTGCTGAGTATTTTGCAATCAACCTTTTTAATAAAACCTTTAATTCTTACTAATTGTAACACATAGACCTCCCAAGCAAAATAATAATTATTTGGCAGAAATTGCATAAGTAATATCTGTTGTAACCACAAACTATGATAAAATTCTTCTCTCTAGGAACTTTTGAGATAACCATCAAACAGTAACACAACAGAATTCACTAGACTTCAAGAGAGATTTGACCCAATATAAACAGTGAATCATCTGCCCTCACAAAAGTAAAGTATGGTGTTCCACAAGGCTCTGTTTTAGGACCTGTATTATTCACATTATATATGCTACCACTGGGCACAATTCAGTAAACACGGCATAAATTTCCACTGTTATGCCTATGACACTCAGTTATATTTAACAAGTGAACCGGATGACAAAATTAAACTTGGCAAGATTGAGGACTGTATAAAAAGACATAAAAGACTGGATGTCGAGTAACTTTCTCCTTCTTGACTCGGATAAAACAGAGGTTCTACTTCTTGGTCCAAAAGCAGCTAGAAACAAACTGTCTGATTTAACACTTAAACTTAACAATTTCTCAGTTGCATCAAGCTCATCTGTAAAAAATCTTGGTGTCATGATATAACTAGTATTACTAGAACAGCCTTCCTGCATCTCCGCAATATTGCTAAATTAAGAAATGCATTATCTCTACAGGATGCAGAAAAGTTAGTTCACAGTGCATTTATTACTTCAAGGCTAGATTACTGTAATGCCCTGCTGGCTGGATGTCCGAGCAAAAGCCTTAACAAGCTTCAGCTGGTCCAGAACGCTGCAGCCAGAGTTCTTACTAGAACTAGAAAATTTCAGACCATATCAGCCCAGTTCTATCAACCCTACACTGGTTACCAGTTAAATTTTCGCATTGATTATAAAATTCTTACTGACTTATAAAGCACTAAACGGACTCGCCCCTCAGTACCTGAGTGAACATCTCTTCCACTATGAACCATCACGCCTACTTAGATCACAAGGTGCTGGCTTACTATTAGTACCTAGAATCAATAACGTTACAGCAGGGGGGAGAGCCTTCTGAAACAAAGCCCCCCAGCTTTGGAATAATCTTCCTGTTAATGTTCGGGACTCAGACACAGCCTCAGTCTTTAAGTCTAGGCTAGAAACTTACTTGTATAGTCAAGCCTTTGGTAATTAGTTTTCCCTGTCAGTTCTACACCTGCCAGAGTCTCTGCTGCTCTGCTAACACTAATTTGTGATCAGTGACCCATTACAGAACTGACTGTGTTTTTCCTTTCTTTCTTTTCTTCGCCGAGTTGAACAGCTGCCCATCCTGTGCGTCTGATGCTGCTGCCTCTTCTGCCTTGACCGGGTGCCACTGCTGCCAGCCCTCTGGGCCGGCTTGACCACCACTGAGCTTCATGCTGTACAACGCCGTGCAACCTCACCCTCACAACCTGACCCCACTGATGCTGCTGCTACATAAAATAATCAAATTAATCATTTGCTCCACCTGTTTTCCCCGTTTTTGTACTATAATACTTTATACTAACAATGTTTACTATCCGGTGTCGACCAGAGGAGGGCGGGTTCCCCTTCTGAGTCTTGGTTCCTCTCAAGGTTTCTTCCTGTTTCTCTTAGGGAGTTTTTCCTTGCCACTGTCGCCGCTCATGGGGTCTGGACCCGAATTTCTTTCTGTAATGCTGATTTCTTATGTAAAG